ATCGAAATATCTAGTGGGCAGGCGGCTAACAGCCCAGAACCGGTCCTTGATAGAATTGGAATCTTTATATGTGTGCAGCTTTCACCCAAGGTCGTAGGCTTCCACCGGCTAAACCGGGTGAGGTTGGTGCTCTGTAAAGCGCATGCGCAAATCTGGCTTTTCGTAATCTGAAAATACAGGAGATTCCACTCCGCCACTAATATTCTAATATACAATAGCAATTTTTTTTTCCACGTGTAGTATAGAAATTTGTAATAAGATACATAATGCGCTTATAATAAAATATTGTGCGATTATTTTCATATAATTAAAATTAATATGTACTGTATTTATTTTTTAGAAAATACAAGGGAAGCGGCGCATTCACCGCTTCTAATGACGGTACGCCACTGCTATTTAGGTATTAGACACGTGAAGAAAACCCGGAAAACTCCACGTGGCCAGCCAGTTGGTCAGGCGCGAACCCAGGACCGATTGTGTTCAGTTGTTTTATCCATTCGTCCACATCAACAAAAATTACTAATATTTATCAATACATGCAGAAATAACTATATTAGAAGAGCAAATTTAGCTCAATGTTATGTTTCTACACCATATTATTGATTGGTATGTTATATAAACTTGAGAATGTTATATAATTCAATTCTGATTATATAAAATAAGTTATATAAGGAGTATTGAGAATGTGGTTTCTCCGGTGCATCTTTAATTAATAATGTGGCTGATATTGCAATCATGTTATGAACTATTGGATACAATCAACTTTGAAATTAGTCAACTTTGACTCAAGTTTAAATTACAAAAATTCACGGATTCTAGTGAAAATTTTATAATATATTTATAAATTTTTATTTTTATTTAATGATATGTAAGGTTTAAACAGTTTCTAAGAGTTATAAGATCTGTTTTCATATAATTACAAAAAGAAAAAAAAAATTGAGAAATGTCATTTAAATTTAACAAGATTATACTTAACTTCAGAATATAAATAACTCACCCATAATACTCTTGTAAACATTAGTAAATTCATTCAGGTAGAACTTATATAAAACAGCACTATTTTCAAATAAGGTTTGAAGACCGTATCTAAATTAATTTAATTTTTTTTCGAAATAAATTTTAAAAGTACAATATTTTAATTTTATATATTTTTAAAAAGAAGAAAACGATCGTTTCCTTTAAATTAGAAAAATTGGAAATTAAAAAAATAATAATAATCTGTCATAGGTAGCGAGCGGATCCAGAAGAACCCAAAGAGGAACAGACTAATTCAAAAATTTTAAATATTTGAATAATTAATAAGTACCATTAGCATGTGCAAGACGGTTGTATTGAGGATGGTCCGATAAACCACATTTTTTCGAACAAAAACTTTAATAATTAAAGACACAAAAGAATTATTATTTTGTGTTAATGAAGAGCTTAAGCCTATATCCTCAGTGGATTCCCCTGTCTGTCATTGCTACATATATGCAATATGTCTAAAGTTTAGATTTCTGGATTTCGAAAGTGACTACAGGTATCTTCAAAGCTTCATTCAATTGAAACCGTAAAACTGACTGAAAGTAATTTTCAATTCAAAGTTAATTACAGCATTTAAAATAAAATTTAGGTTAATAGGCGTCATTAAACTTGATAATGAGCAATAGTTTTCACTTAAGATATTTCAATTGCTATACATTGAAGAATAAATAACATTATGAACTCTGGACAGGTTACTATTTTGTATTCATCTAATTATTTCTAATTTTATTAATTGTATTTAATTAACATTTTCAATATTTTTACTTTAAAAAGTATTAAAAGTTCATCTCGATTAGTTTAAATAATCTATATCATTTAATTTTACATATTATAAATACAAAATAATATACAATTAAGTACAATAGAATACAAAATACAATTTAAAAGAAATTTTAATGCATAGGTTATATTTCATGTATTTGTATGTTAGCCTCATTTTTATAAAATTCTATTTTAATTATATAAATGTAAAAACAATAAAGTATATGTGCTTATTAATATAAAATTTTGATGAATTAATATTATAGAATGTATGTGTTTAATAGGACAATAAATCGATGAATTGATTAAAATTATATTTAAATTAAATTTAAATAAAACGATGGTGAATAGGGTTATAAATCAAATAAAAACAAGTGTCTATTAAAAGCATTACATACAGTACATATACACAGTCAAATCGTTAATAACGGCCAGATCTAAGCGACGGCCATCTTTTCAGAAACGTTTCTTCTTAAAATGAATAAAAATAACTTCCAAATAACGACCATTTTTTTATATTCCCATCAGTGGCCGTTGTTCGGAAGTTTGATTATAAATGCAAAATGCCTTTTATAATTTCTAAGATATGTTTACAGCATCTTAAAAACATTTCAGTGTTAATCATATAGTTAATTCGTGGAAAAACTTTGAATAATTGAATTTTTAATAATAAATAATAACTAAAATGAATATTTTCGAAAACGTGACGGGAATCCTATTGTACACCATAAACAATTTTTTCTTAAAAGATTTTTTCTTTAGAAACATGCATGCATTATAAAGTGAATTTATGTTTTGAGTATTATAAACAAGTCATCCATCCGGATCTTTCGTGCTTTCATGAATATATTAAATATTGTCATTCATGTTTCATTTAGGCTATAGTAATTTTAATATATTTAAATAATATTTTAAAAACTAATATCGGTCAACGATTCTTTTTCTTTCTTTTTACGTTTCACTGTATTAAAATAAATACTGTCTCCAAAATATAGACGATTTATTAATATTTATTCATGTGTTCCTATTTAAAATAGTTTAAAATTTATATGTACTGCATTTTAATTTAATATACATCGAAAATACTCCAAATAAATGAATATAATGGAAAATCCCAACATTTTTAATGCTGAAGATATATTCACATGATTTTAACTGAAAAAAGGCTAATATCAAACGAAGAGCCCAATTCCTTCATTGGACTATTCAAGCTAAATGATTACTATGCAATTTGGCAGGAGACAGGGCGCCAGACCGCCTCAGTTAGTAGTTATCACCTTGAGCTTTTTTCATACAATAAATACAACTAGGTTGGATTGTTAAGTAAACGTTCTAAAAATAAATTCTTTTACAATGAAATTATTTTATCAATTAGAAAAATAAAGGGGAAGTAATGTCAAATAATTACTAAATTAAATCCGAAAATATCTCAAAACTTTCTCATTTCCTCAATAAGCATTGTCTTAACTTTCATGTTATTTTGGCTATACGTTTTGGTTATACTTTACTCTTCGTATATATTATCAATTCATAGAATTCAAAAATAAAAAAGTGTTTAAAAAATTGATTGATTCGCCGTATTTTCTTGCTTTTATCGACATTTCCCTAAAAACCTGTTTTTGAGTCATTCGTTCGAATTGATACTTTTAATTAACCTATATATTAAAGGCGGTTTGAAGCATTTTTTAAAAGTAGTTTTCGAATCAAATTCATTCTTGATTATTATGATGCTATCAGATAGAATTTATTAAAACCCGAAGAGTTCTTTGAACTCCACTTATTAGCGCTTATCCAGTTCCAAGTTGTGAGTCAGCCAAGAGCCATTGGTCGTAAGAATGAATCCGGAAGGTCATTGCCATCCGAGTGCACCGAAGTTGTCAAACTTCTATCAACATCCAGCTAAGGCAGTCTTAAAAATCCACGTGGTTGCTTATTTAAAAATCTTTCACGCCTTATGAATTTTCTTTAAATATTAAAATTTATTTTTTTTCTCGATATTACTTTAATTTAATACGAAAAAGTTTTTCTTTCTTTCGTACACACTATTAAATTTAACATTTAAATTAAATTGGCATGTAAAATTTTAAATTTCTAGATTATTTCTTATTATAAACTAATTTGAATCTATGAATTAAATTTAAAACAATATTAAAATGTTTTTTTCAAATACATATTATAATTTATTAATACTATATTATGTAAGATAAGAAATAATATGAAACTATATTCCGAGTTTTTAAAATATTTGAAAAATAATAATTTCAATTCTTTTCATTAATTAAAAAAATCGTAATTTTAAAATTCAATAATATACAATTAATATTATAATCACTCTATATAATATTAATTACTACTGTACAATTCATTCTTTATCTTTTTCATTAAATTATTTTATTTAATATTATCCAATAAAATGATTTTTAAATTTAAAAAACATTCTTAAAAATTAACAAAGCGCCATCTGTTATCAAATTCATAAATTTTAAATGGTTAATATTTTCCTCGATCTTATAAAATTTTTATAAATTATTATATAATAAGCATTTTAAGTCTAAATAATTTATTTGAAATTAAAAAAATTTAGTGATTCGGATAAAGAATTTTGGTAATTTTTAAAAATTATATCCTTAAAATCGTTGCCAAGCACACAAATAGTTAAATAAATTTAAAAATAATGTAATTAACAATTTAAAAATTATTATTATTTAACATTAATCATTTAAAAGTATTAATACATTTGTCACAGATTAAAATGATGTAGTACAAACGACATAAACAATATTTATTTCATTGTAAGATGCCGATGAGCATTTAAAATCATAAATCTTCGTATCTATTGTTAAGTTGTCATAAAAATCGAAGTTGGTGACGTAAAAATTGTTATTGCCGGTCATTAACGTATTCGATATCATTGATCACCAACAATAAATTTGTTAATCGTGAATGACTATTGTTTATTCACGTCTCGATTTTAAATAATGAAAAAAAAAATCAACGACGTTAATTACTTCCGATATTAGACGCCATTCGAGTAATATAAAAATAGAAATACGCAAATGTGAACTTTGTAATTTTGTTTAGCGATAATCTAGTTCAAGTAAATTTGCATATTTCCAAAGAAATGATTGCGGCAACTTTATAAATATAGGACCTACACGACTACAGTCATTTTTCAATTGAAAAAGGAACATAAAAAATTGTTAAGAAGGTCAGACATGTAAAAATTCTAGATTTTATAGCTAAAAGCAATGTGAAAAAAAATTGTATCGAATTTTCATATTTAGAGTAATACTTTTTCCAAATTTTTTTGAGATTAGCCTATTTAAAGTATTTATTTTATCCAATGGCAGTTGGTTTTGTTAAGTACATTATACTTAGTCGGTGTCCTATTCTTAAAATGGATACACCTCTCCGTGAGATAATCACGATTACCGCATTAAAATCAAAGTTAGGTCAAGTTCGCATTATCAATGTAATAAACACTTAATTATCTGTTTGGGATCGATAATTATCGCATCTTCCCATGTAAGCTGAATAATTTACAGACCTATATTTAACAAAAATATTTCAGATTGTTGTGGAGATTACTCAGTGCTGCTGTAATTCTCACCTTTAACCATTTCCTTGTTACGCACCTTTCGGGTTATAAAGGAATGACATCCGCGAGGTGTGTTGTCACTTCCGTTTGTACAAGATATCAAGAATTTTAAAATAATTCCCTCTTTTGTCATATTTTTAGTTCTAAATTTTAAAAGCTCGGGGCACGAGAAAAATGAGGTTGAAGTATTTTAGAGGAAGAAGAACGTTCGTGGTTTATAAGTCGTCAACGTTAACCTACAATTCTTAACCAACACCTTAAAGGCTTAAACGTGAACCTAAATTGTCTAGACCTGATATAAAAGAAGTAACAATGGCCGAGAATTTTTTCCTGCAATCAAATTTTAAAATAAACTTTGACAGTTCTTTCGGTCTAGGTTATTTGTTTACATATTTAGCACGTAGCAGAGGATAGTGCAACGTTTTAAAAGGTTACGAGATGATATAAAAAGCAAATTATAAGTTTTATGAGATTGTTAGACTAAATATAAAGAATAAAATTATTATATTATATAGGAATCTCGTGTTATATATTTAAATCGGAGTAAAATATTTTTTTAAATTTGTAATTTTATGATAAACAAAGTACTTATTATGCCGAATAGCTTTATCTTAAATTCTGACCTTACTATAAAATAATATTACAAACTATAATAATAAACAGAAAAAATTTATGACGTCGATTTTTAAATTGTAAATTATAAATTTCCAATAAAAGTATGTAAATGGGTCATCTGTAATCTATTTATCGAACTTTAATTATAAGCTACTGTTTTAATAATAGAATTTGTTTCAGAAGAAACTTATCCTTATATAATTGTAAACTGTTGTAACATATTGATATCGCATTGATCTATATAGATATTATGAATAAATTATATATGTATATTGTTTTTACTAATTATGAATGATGAATAAATGATCATTTAAGTTTAAACTATGAAAAATTATAACTTATAATGCATTGAATTGGATTGAAGGAATAAGGCAATGAAACATATGGGCAGTCTATTAAGGGGGTACCTCCCGGAAAATTTCTATGAAAAACTGGCTCCCAGTTAGGTATTATACACGTGAAGAAAACCCGGAAAACTCCCGTCTGTTAGTGTTTAGTGGTGTTATCTACTTGGTTAATGGTGAGCATAACGTAACGAATGTGACTGTTTTTATAATATACGAATTATTAAAAAGCGCGTTTCGATTCATCATACAAAAAGTAATTTTTAGTATCTTCACAGAANTTATTTATTATTTTTTGTAATTTTTATCGGATCGTTTGCGTTTTAATTTCTGATTAAAATAATAAACTAACTAATTACGATTAAAAATAGAAACAATTCACTGCCATAAATATTTGTTGAGATTACTTTTTTTTTAATTTTCTTATGCATGGCCAAGCATGAGATGAATTTACATTCCAGAAAGAAAATAATTTCTACTATTTTTAAAATTATATTTGCTTTTCAATACAATAATTCCTTGTCCAGATAGTTCCTTGTCTTTGTTGATTTTTCTGACGTTTTTATTTACATAAAGTAAACATGAAATAAATTTCAAAGCACCGAAGTAGTTGGATTTTAAATAGAAACCGTGAACTTGACGTATTTCGATGCTAATCAACACTTTTTTTTTGTAATAAATTTTGTAACGAAGTGAATCGATTTAACATAGAAAACAAGAAAGCATTAAAAATTTAATTCTTTCGTTTTTTTTGTTATTTTGTTTTTTCCTCTTCCTGCTGAGACGTTGCCTTTCGGAAAGGCAACTTAGGCCAGTAGTTCGATATTCCTTCGGGGCTCAATGTGTACTTCCTATCCTGAAGATCGATTTAATAGTTTTATATACAAGGCCATAAAATGATCCTAGATGTAGGTCGAATTTTTGAGAAAAAAATATAATATTTGTATTTTTTCTAGTTAATTATTATCTACTTACTGTTTTGATAGTAATATAACAATCCTCTCTTTCTTACTAGGCTGTATTCAATGCAAGAAAAAAACTGTAATATTTGTAATTTATTTTTTAAGTAAAATTAATATTAATTAAAGACTAGGTAGCACGTATACAAGGCGCATCTCTTTTACGATTATAAATATTTAAATCATTAATCTGTTGGGGTAACATTTATACAAATATTCATATTATATTTCATTTCATAAATTTCGAGCACTAAAAGATAAGAATTAAAAATTTGTTTGATGAATTAATTTTAACTATTGATATTTAAAGGATCCGCTGACAGAATTATAAACTTAATTGACCAGAGAAGACTTGTTATAAAAGATATAGCCCTGTATATATCTGTTATGTTTAAAAAATTTCACAATACCTTGATTTTAAATATAAATTTGTTTGCGGTACGATTATAAAGATTATAATAAATTTTATATTTCCAACTTTAAAACTTAAATTTTGTTTAAATTTATAAAAAAAAAATGCGTGTAACTTTAAAACGTATAAGTATCAAAATGTGAGAAAATCTCTTAGGTGAAGTTGGTTATTCAACCATAATTTGCAGCATGATTTATGTTCGTTATTTTTAAATAGAAGATTATTAATACAACTCTAACCGATTGATTTAAATACTTCTCTTTCTCTTATGGTCCGAGCTCACGAAGTGAATCTTTGAAACCACCAAATGCATAGAAAATAGTCACGAGATTCATCTCAGCGTGACTGGAGACTGAATACACCGATTATACGGTCGGCGACTACATGCTGATCCGAGAGAACGATTTCGAAAGTGAAAATTCCAAGTTTTGTCAAAAGGAAGTCTAACTACTCTGACACGCGATCGAAGTATAAACAATTTCTCTGAAATAGTAGAAAATTTTTCGGAAGAATTATCAAAGTATCCGACTTTTCCTGCTTTAATAAAGTTACATTCCATTAATTTTCCAAAAGCAATATTCGTACAAAGCAATCAATTTGTATAGTATTATAATAAATCTATAAATGCAAGATAATAAGCGTGTAATTTATTTAATGTAAACTTTATTTTACTTATTCAATCCACATAAAAGTTACAGCATATTTTATAATGAACTTAGATCTATGTAATCGTATTAAATTTAAATTTAAAATGTTTTTATTGATATTCTCTATTAGTAAATAATGGCTTTAATGTTATACCGAATTGATAAGCTACAGAAAAAAAAAAAAAATCTTACGTTAGACAAAATTGCTACTTTACAATTCGGTGGATCTGCTAAAATTACAAATTTTTTAACGGGAAAGTCTTGTAATGACAAAAATCGCATTTCGAAGCTATTAAATAAATGGTTGATTGCACACAATGACAAGATCGTTAGTAATCAAATGTTATTTGTCTCTGCGAGTTATGGATCATTGCCGTGTAACAACTTGACCCAATACAGATTACAAGCTCGAGAAGCATTATTTTCTACGGATAGAGGATGATTCAAATAGGAAAAGTAAATGTAAATGCATTCATCTCCTCTTTAAGTTTTCGCTTTTCATAAATTACATACATGTGGACAAATCACGGATGAATGAAAAATTCCATAAATTAAAAGTGAAATTAGAAAAACCATTCAAAGATAAGCTCGTATGTAAAATGTATATTTATATGCCTATTTTTAAGGTATATCTGAGCTACTCGATATAATTGCATGCATCCATCACACGGTAATTACGTGATCATAATTGCGATAAATTCAATGATACATTTGACATCAAAGCATTTTTAAAAGTAGGAAGTGTGTATATGGATTTATTTATAAGCATGTCTAATAAGTTTATATAAAGAATAAGTGTGATAATATTAATCAATGATAATTTAAAAAAAAAACAGGAAGTGTCGTGACAAAACAGAATGATGATCGATGACTTGATGTAAAAAATTTTGAGTTAGTAACACAAAACGAAATGTCGAGAGTTTCTTTTGATTTATAATTAATCATTAATAAACAAGATTTTATTTTGAGTACACGTAAAATTTAGTTTACATTGTTTTAAAAACTCTGATACAAATTCTAAAGAAAAACTTATTCCTTGTAGACAGAGCCAAATTATCTATCAAGCAAAACATGCAACTACATAGGGCCTATAACGTGCGAACTTTTTCTCTTCATCTTTAAAATAACTAGTTTTCTTTTATCGCTATATAATAATAGTAATAATAATAATAGTAGTAGGCGTGTTTCTTACAATGCTTTAAAATAGTTGAAAAGTGTAAGTATCTATTACGCAAGGGCCCACGAGTCTTGAATGCATAGGTCCTACAAGTTTCTTTATCCGATTCTGCTTCTATATGAATTTTAATATAAATTTTTTTCAATTTTTTGGTAAAATATTTTATTTATATATTTTCAGTAAGCAGTAAAAAATGAAAAAGTTGAGTGTAATTGTCAGATAAGTCTCCATGCTGACTGCTGTTCATTGATAACTTAAATTATGAGCTCAGTCATTCGGTCGCTCTCTAACTAAAGATACTATAACTAATGATTACTTATTTATATAAATATTTATATAGGTAGAATAGAAAACTATCATTTAATAAATAACTGTGCTACTTGACACGAAATGTCAACTAGATTATTGTCAATAGGCCAAAAAATGTAAATGGTTGTTTTCTTAGTAGAATAAATTGTTATTGTTTAGCACTTATAACGTTAAGCATCCATTGAAATTTTTTTAAGGATATATGTGCCAAAGTGTTTATAACAAGGAAGTGATATTGTATACGAGAGCGTGTTCTTCTCTAAAGGAAACTTTTAATACGAATAGCAATCTGAATATTGATTAAGGATCAGTAACTTGATACGGGACACCTAACTTAATTAATATTTTAGTCAGTAGAATATGTTTGTATGTATTATATATATAAATGCGCTTATCTATCTATATTTATATATAACCAACTGAGTTTGATTCAACATGCTCTAATAAATTTTTAATATTATTCAGCTTTTGTACTTATTTACATTGTATTGCTATGAATTACTTTCCAGGAAACCACTTATTAGAATAAATTTTATCATAAATAATTCAAAAAAATTTTTATATGCGTGTGTATCTGTGTTTATATATAAATATATAAGTTAATTTATACATACAAATCTAATTTATATTTAAAATAAATAATTTGTTTCAGTATGAGTTTGATTAAATATGTTTGAGTGAAAAAGGTCAAATATATTAATTATAAAACCAGGAAATAACAATCAATAGCAACGATTGTGTCAATGAGTTATGCATAGAAATTTCTCCTGCATAAAACAAAAGTACGAATAAAGTTCTAAGAACTAGATAATATCAGGGAAGAGAATACGGTTGATAGGGTTTGAAGGTGCTAGCACTTACAGACGCAACGTTGCGTAAACATTTTTCAGATTATATGACTTGTTCTTCTCGATTCACTAATTCTAATAAACTTATAGAAGAGAATCTACAACACACTATCTATTTCTCCGGAAAAGAAGGAA